GTCAATTGGGGCTAACGAAAAGACACAGAAACGTATCCTGACCGATATTTATGGCTGTCAGCAAGATATTCTTCAGCAAGATGGCCTTGCAGATTCAGACGACGAAGAAGACTTTGACGCCAAACTTCAAAGTCTGAGACCTATTTGGGAAACCTTAGCGCCAGGGTTTCACTCCTGGTTCATCAAACACAGGTCAGAACAGTTCAAAAGCTGTTTAATTCACTCCGCCCGAGAAGATCTGGGCTTGGACGGAAGGTTTTATACTAACGGCCTTGAACTTAAGCATAAGCTCCAGAAAAAGCGTCTCCGAGAGGACAAAAGGAGGTCGCCGAAGTTTCTTCTACGCTGGAGAAGTGGACCAACAAGTTTTATGTCGAAGAAGAGAGGGCCCTAAGGGGAATGGGCAAATACCGCCTGGTTACGACCAGTTTAAGGTCGATCCCGTTACCTGGAACAAGTGGGGGCCGGAACGACAGTCACAGCATCTGAATGCATTTAGGAATTTTGTGCCTAAATCCTTCAACATGTACAAAAGACCAAGTTCTGCTGGCCTAAAAGGTTCACCCAGTAACAAAGCTAGAAGGGCCAACCTTCCCGAACCAGAGGTGTTCGCCGATAGAGTGAACGCTGCTGCCTCACATGCATATTCCAGCGCCAAACCCACTGCACAATCTGCCGCACAGCCGAAAACTGTCACTCCGGTACGAATAAGAAAAACTACGGATAACCAACAATGGGAGGTAACCTCATATTTCATTATTTTTTAATATTTTACTGTTGTTCATTTCCTTTTATCGTCTGGTCTTTTCTTTTCCTTTCTCTGTTTTTCTTGCTTATTTTCTTTTTCATTTTTTTTTATTTGTTTATTCATATTTATTTTAGGTTTCTTTTGTTTTTATTTTAATTCCACTTTTTATTCTTCTCATTTCTATTTTCATTTTGTTATTTATCTGCTTGTTCTATACCTTTTATTTTTATTTTAATCCTTGCACATTATGTTGACACATTCCATTTTCTTTCCTTCGATTTTCATCTTTCTTTTCATTCTTTTCTGTACTTGTCATGAATTCCCACTTCTTTTCACTTATTTATCAATGCTAGAAAGTTTCATGAATTCTGGTTATATGCACTTAATTCAATTAAATTTGTCGCATCAAAAAGCACAAAGGTATGACCGAAAAGAATTCTGGATGTTTTCATTGCGAGCAAAATGCCGCTTGCGTTCAGTAACGACTTGCGTATGAGAGCAGTTCGCCTTACCGTATTTTTTGCAATGCCTTCAAAAACTATTGCCGTATAAAGACACGGCAGTTTGCTTACGGAAAATGCATCCCATCATGCTTTTTGGCAATACCTTTGTGCTTTTAGATGCGACAAATTTAATTGATATAAATGTTTGTTAGACAGGGAAAAGGAGTGAAAGGGATGAGACGCAGACATGTTTATAGCTGCCAAAGCAATTCCTCATAATTGAAATGTTTTGTCTTTGTGTAGGTTCAGAAAAGTACTTCCAACAACAAGAATGCTGCTGTGAATTTTCTTGATCTAGATAGAATTTCAGGGAAGCAGTATGAATTGGTTAGCAGGGATGACAATAAGCTGTGTCCAAGGGCCGTACAACGTTGTAAGCAGTGTAGAGTGTCCTTCAATCAGGCTGACATAGTGTTAGTCAAAAGTGTGGGAGTCCGTGAGCGGACCGATAAGTCTGGAAAGGTTGTGAGATATACCGGAAATGTGTACTTTCATTTTCTAACGAAGTGTTTGAAAGAATACGACCAGAAATTTGAATTTTCCGCCATTACTGTGCCGTCACGTACTCTTCAGTTTCTTTCAGATGGCGGAAAAGCAATGCTTCAAGCCAAAGGTCTTCATGTCGAAAGTTAGTTAATACGACGGTGCACTCAATACAGTTGCTCATTTTTTGTTCCAGTTCTATGTAAATCAAAGTACTTTTATCAGCAGGACTTCATATGTCATATGTCATGGTAGACCTTGTACACACGGCATACATGCCTTGCAAATTAGTGATGATAATTGTAATGTTGATAATGTATATCACTTTTTATCACGAAAACGTAGTGATTAGCCCAGATATAAGATAATTAATTATTTTGCCCTATCTGTTAAAAGGAGTTGGTGCTCCGGCTCTATTATTTTTATGACATATTTGTGATTTTTTATTTGATACATATGTAACTATGATTTGTCTAATAACACATGATACATGTATAATTTTTTGATTAAAGTTGTAATCACAGATATTCAATATGTAGTAATTGCATTTAACAACGTATAGTTAGCCATCGGGAAATATAGCCTATATATTTGGAATATTTCGGTCTCAGCCCCTCTCTTTGTAATTTTAATTTGTGCAAGACATTTAAGGCACAGAAAAATATCTAAAGCGAGTACAGAGTGACAAAACAATCCATTGTTCTTGTTGAAAACAGACTCAATTAGCTCAATGAATGGCTGGGAGTTGTACGGGAATATGCGAATTCATTTCTTGACAAAGCACTTGCGTGACAATATCAACATGCCATCGCGAATGCAAAGAAGAAACTGTTTTAAATCGAAAGAAATACGTGAAGTTTTTTCAACGGGATCATGCAAATTATATATGAAAAAGCCCAGGAAGGCCTGAAGATTTTCAAACTTCCTAAGGAAATTTTAAACATTGTGTTTCTTTTTAATCAGAGACGAATTTATAGCGTGACCTAGATTTTAACTGACTTCGTTTTTGCAAACGTGAAATATAAGTGGATTTTTTACAAGGTTTTTTACTGCAAATGACAGAATATAGCTGATGAATGGTGGCTTTACTTCCACTGCCACAGTAAATTGACTAGATAGTTGAGATTTTGAGAAAAAAAGCCTAAAGCCCTGTTTGTGGTGTCTATTCCGTAAGCCGGGCTCCCTCTGGATAAACTCGATTAACACTTATTTTCCGATGTTACCCGTTACTTTTTAGGTGCTTTCATGTAATTTTCAGGTAATTTCAGATGGTTTCCTTGGGGGTTTCAGAAGGTTTCAGGTGGTTTCATTGGTGGTTTCAGATGGTTTCAGGTGGTTTAAGGTGGTTTCGGGTGGTTTCAGGTGATTCCAACTTTTAGTACTTACGCTCTGTGGAGTCTGTGATCTGAGACCATCCTTGAGAACGCACCAGAAGGGAAAGCGTAAAAAGAAAAACCCTCTGCGAAACCTTTAAACTGTCGCCATATTTGTTTTCCTAATTCAGCAATGTTTGACGGGAAATAAACTCAATCCAGACCCTCTCATACTAAAGGAAAGCCTTGAACAAATTTATTTCCTTGCGCAAAGGAAACAAATCAAAGAGATCTGTATAGTACGTTCGTTGAACTGTGTTTTCAACTGGGAGAAAAAGCCCCTTTCAGGTAAGATTTGCCTAGTTCTTCCCATTATTTAATGCAAGTGGTTTAAGCTACAATTTCCAAAATGTCTGACATCCGTAGACGATTACAAATAAAGCCAGTTTGAATGGACATTGAAGCTTTGTACAGATTGTCCCTTGCATTGCATCAGACAGCAAATTGCTATAAGTCGCTCTGCCTTACAAATACGAAGAGATATGTTCGAAGCTGTTTCTTTTTTTTTTTTTGCTTTTTTCTCCATAAAGAAGGTCCACAGAACTTAAATCGCTCAATATTTAATATGGAACTTGTCCTAACCACTATCTTTGTTTTCATCCGACTCCAATCCGCTGACCAATGAATGCGGGAGCAAAATGTCCTTGATTTCTAGCGATGAATATACCTACCCAGCCCTCCTCATTGAATTTATTAATAGAAGCACAGCCCCCGGAAATGAAAAATGTACCTAACCACCCATACCTAACAATAAATGAAAACAATAAATGGTCCAAAATTAATGGTTAAAAGTATAGTCCAAAAAATGGTACAAGGGTCCTAAGGTCCAAAGGTCCAGTCCTATATTTTACCTATGTCCGTTTGGCGACGTTCAATAGACCTGAAGCTTCCTTTGCAAGTGGGTTTTCGTGGTAAATAAGTGTTTCTTCTGGGTTCGTCTCAATCCTTCTTGACAATACGTTTACAATCATCATTCGACAACAACGCAGTTTTTGCATAGCACCGTCAACTAAAATTAACTATGCTTGAATAACCACCATGAAATGTATGCGTTGTTCGACAGTTACAAACAACGCACAAAGTAGAACATTGCAACTTCTCATATCTGTAGGCAATTAGATATTCAGGCTTCGTACATTTTTTATTTGAATAACATCCTTTACAAGCAAGGGCATCAGTTTTCTCTCTCTTCTTTACTACAGTAGTTGTGATTCTTGAAAGATAACAAGACCAATTAATGTAGATGAAAACATTTGCCCAGCAAGAAAGCACTATTTTCTAACCGCCGAGCTTTTTGCCCGCCTTACCACAGAGAACTCCTTACTTCACAAACTTGTAGCAGTCACAAGTAAGCGTGGTGAAAAAAACATCGTCTGAGATATGTTTTATTGCACCGGATAACGTAAAACTGATAAACAAAGATCATTAACGGTGCCAATGTATAAATTTTGGGTGTCTAGCGTGATCATTCGACAAAAAAACAATTTGAGATAAGCTTAGCGAAACACTTTGAACTAGGTTTTAGTTATTTGACAGTCACTTCCTTAAAAGATATAAGGTTACTTACGTAGCATAACCCTGGCGAACTCCATTTAGCTACGATCAAAATGCCCCTCGATAGTATAAATTTCCTTGTCCAGCTAGTTGCCAACCGTTCTGTAAATCTGGCGATTATTTTGTTATTTACTTTTGTTCATGAAATCGATCGAATAACATTGGATTGACATGCGATTGCATTACCTGAGAAGAGAGACTATTTTCGCTTTTTTCTTTTGTAGTCCTACAGCTATGAACGATTGAGGATGATTCGTTTGCTCATCTGCTGCAAATTTTACTCGACGTTCACCATAATCAAATAAACTTGAGTTAAAAATCTTTTAGACCGTGACTCACCTGAATATTGAATCACACAAAGAAATGAGATGTAATAGGAAACGATAGCAAATTCCATTTCAGCTACTCTAGCTTGCTGGATGGCTGAAAGTGATATGAGCATCTATAACTATATCACAAGTCTTCAAGTGAAAATAATTTCCTCTTCCGTGACATGACGAAGAGTACGTGATGATAATTACCCAGAACTCCCATGGCACCGATCAACTTTCATATCATTCAGTGTGAGGCATTTTGTCTCATTCATAGTTGTCGAACTCCCGCGAATTTTGCTACCTGGTGGTGAGAACTGTTCATCTGCGAATATACCAGCGACAACAGATGGAATACACATTAAAAGAAATCATCCACTGGATATTACTTTATAAAAAGAAAATTCGATGTTCCTGTTTACGACTTTAGCTTGGGTATGTGGCGTTTAATCGAGAAAGTACGTTAATAGAACTCTAGTTGAATAATGACGATGATGATAATATCGGATAATAGGAATAATGATAATAATGATAATAAGATTAAAATGGTGACGGAAAAAAATCAAACAGCGGGAAGTAGTGTCACGAACTACTCAAATTATATCAGTTGAAAGCTTTGGCTTGGATAAATCTACCGTTACATGCATAATTTTCTTTGCTCTGAGAGATTTGAAAGAATTTAGCTATTTTAAGAAACACACTCATTTGGAATCGATAAATTGACACTTGGTTGTCCTTCCTTTTTGGCATACACTAAAACCATATCATTATCGGGGCGGAAGTGACAAGAATAGCCTCCAAATACTTCGGAGGAGAGGTATTAGATAAAAGATTCTGCTCGTAACCACAAAAATATCCACCAGCTGTTGGTACACTTCATGACACATACACGCACATGCAGCTGCATTCCACAGAATGGCGGATAATAACAGCACATCACCTTTTCTAATATTTCCCGCCGTTCACGAAAATGAATTAAGCGAGAGGAATAAAAGAAGAGGCCGGTGCAATTTTTCCAGCTTGTGCCAAAGAAGATTAGACGTAGGGGATCAAAGAAGACATCTGATTTAAGTGCTACCGTCACCACCTCGAGCTGAGCTTATATAATTAATAACTCCTCTTTTCCAACCATGATTTAACATGCATTTTTAATTAAAAACAGATATCTTACTATATTTAGGAGTGTAAATTTCACAGAAGTTTAAATATTTACAGTGTTATTAATTCTTTCCAGGATGTTTCTGATGATGAAATCATAGCAGATGGTGAATTAAGTTCTGCTTCATCCACTGATCCATGCTCTCTGACAGACCTTAATTATTATTGTGCCTGTTACCTCACAGTTTGTGTACATGTTAGAGCTGTTCAACAGTGATGCTTTTACCATCATTGGTGGCAAGATTTCTTTGTTCACTTTTCCAGATTTCAATACAGTTACAAAGAAATTGCTGTAAGTGCCTAGAATATTTCTCATAGATGCTAAGGATAAGACCTAGGTAGAGGCACTTATTATCAGTATTCCCAAATCTTGGCCAGCAAGCTAATCATCATTTATAAGTTATTTTTGTACCACTAGTGTTGACCTTTTTTTGTACTGCTAGTACTGGACGTAGTACAAAAGAAATTACCATAACTTATGTACTACTAATAAGTAGACCTTTCCACTTAAATAAGACTCAAACCTGGTTAGTATTAATACATCAATGTATACATGACTTGTATGCAATATAAAATATCCTAATTGCACACCTTTGGTATTCATAATTATTTTTGATTTTGGTTAATATTTTATATCTATTGAGCTAACCGCACCCCGGTTAGCTCAATTGGTTAGAGGGCCGGATTGTGTTGTGCGGGAGGTAAAGGGTTCGAGCCCCGGCTGGACCAGTACTCATGGTCCTAAAATAAATAAATCGTTTACCTTACATATTTTTCATCCTCTACCATCAGGAAATCAAATATGTGATTCTTGAAAGAGAACCCAGGGACAACATATGGGTCTATTATTGCAAATGTGTTGAAGGCACAAGGCAAACAGTTTATTTACAGTGACTGTCACTGTCAACAACAGTCACAGGAGATAGTAAGTAAAAGCATATAAACCCATAGAAATAATTTACAAAAATACTTTCATAAAATTGTCCATCCAAGTCACTTAGAATGAAGACAATAAAGTCTGTATCTCATGTGCACATTCATTAATTGCCATTCATTTCTGGTTTAACATTAGGAGGCAACTGCAGTTCCCATCCTCTTTGTGACAGCTTCTCTTTTTTATTGTTGCCAACTATTTCTCCAACCTCGTTTTAGCACCCTCGTGTGCTTGTCAAATGTTTTTTCTATTGAATTCTAACAACCTGAGTTGTGAAATGAAAGGTCCCAACTACTAGGTACTGTAACAGGATGATAAGTTGTCTTCATTTAGCTATTTTGTTTTGAATCTTACCCCTGTGTCTTTGGCTGTGTCCCCATGCCCCTGTGCCATAATTTTCTTCTTTGCGTTTCAGTATTAAATTGTGAGTGATAAATTGTATCTGATAATAAGTATTGTTTTATGAAATGTTTCTCACAGGTTTAACGTCAGCTAGTTCTGTTTATGGGCATTGCATCCATGTTGAAGCCACTGAAAAGTTGATGGAAAGCTTTGACAGGGAAAACAATGTCACCCCTTCACTTACCAGAGACATATATTCTCACGATTACACTTACCAGGTAAGATGAATTAATTTTTTGCTTTACAAGGTTAAAATTTGAGAATTATTACGAACATAAATCTTGCTTTCGTCAAAGTTTTTCTGGTTATTTTTTTACCCATCCATATAATTTTGGTTTAAGTTAAATAATGTTATGAGCATAATTTATGTTTAAACAACTAGACCCTCTCCAGAGTACAGAATCTTAGTTTATTGTATTCTTGGAGAAATGACAATTGCATTTGCTGTAAATAGCTGTAAACATTCTTCCATTTGTACCTGTTATTTACATAAAGACTATCTGAAATGATTGTTGTATTTTGAATTCACAGTCTGCTCACTTTTTCTTCTTGCTGTTTTTCTATCTTAGGAGGAACAGATGACTTATTGCCTTTGAATGGCAATGATTTTACAAGTTTTGTACATGGCAATAAACAGCATGGAGTAGTTGGCCATCAGGGTGCACTTATCACTTGCTTTATTTGTCATCACCAGTGTCACAACTGTGAGCATGTGACAAAAAATAGCAGAATGTGAAGAAACAATGGAACACGAAAGGCCTGATTTTCTGGTCGATTTTTTTGGTGAGAGAAATTCTCAAGAGTCTATTGAATCGGTTGCAGCAGCAAGCACTCATAAAGAATGGAAAATAAGATCAGTATCCTACAAAAAAATACCATTCCATCTGTCAACAACACAAAAAAAAGTATTCTCCTCTCTGGAAGATGTTCTTTGTGGCAAAATTTCAACTACTGGTTTGGTGCTGCTTACTCCTAACTTGTCTCCCTCCTGCCCAAAGTGTTCGTTGCACTACATCAGTCAGACTACACAAGCTTTGTGCTTTTTGAAAAAGCAGACATGGCAATGTGAAGGAAAGAAATTCCTTGCATTAATTCGTTATCTCTTTAAGTGTTCAGATCGTGTTCACTGACATGAATGGGATAGAAATGGCTAAAAAATGAAAGCCATACAGGGAAGGTTGTCCAGGTAATGTGAAAATTTCAGTCAGATTTTAAACCAGTTGATTGGATGATAGCTGTTGCCAGCCTGGCGTGAGGCATCCATCAGGAGGAAAACCCTCAGGTTACAGCAAGCCAAATAAATGATTGGGGCTGCATCGGTGGGAGTAACGAAATAATTTGGGTATATCAACCAAGTTGAAATGGTAACTTGGCCACTGTAACGATTACAAAAGCTGACGTTTCGAGCGTTAGCCCTTCGTCAGAGCAAATGACGAAGGGCTAACGCTCGAAACGTCAGCTTTTGTAATCGTTACGGTGGCCTATTTACCATTTCAACTTTGTTGATATATCCAAATAAATGATTATTATTTGCCTCAGCTCAAGGTGAATACAGGTGGATTTCTGAAAAACCAACACAAAGTTTTTGTATAGCTCAAGCACAGATATTATTTTTACAGGCATAGGTGGCAACCAGACATCAGAATGCTCTCCTCTTTGTTGCATAATTATTAACAACTTTTCAACCAATCTTAAATTCTAAAACTAGTCTAAGGGCTTTTAGATTTGGAGGTGAAGTAAATAATGCATCAAAAATGACAGCATTCATCTTCCAGTTGTTGTCCATGGACCAAACTACTTGTCTGTGCTTAAGCTCCCTATTGACAGTAATAATATAACTTAAATTTATATAATCATTATCCAAGCATAAATGTTCTGATTACAGTACGAAAAAGGTTCATGCCTGTGGCTACTAACATGGCATGTATGAGTAATTTTACATCATCTTATCGTTAAATTTTTGTAATAAGCAATTAATGATTTCTGTGTTTCATTTCAGTATTATATTATACTTGTGTTGAGGACATCTGTGATGGAAAAGTGGAGTTTGATGGCTCAGAGCTCACTTTGTTAAACATGGGTTCCTACATTATTTCTCATGAGGTCTTGAGGAATTTCATGTTTCATTTTCTTAAGGGGAGGTACCTGTAACTTATTTTGTATCATAAATTAATTCTCTGTTGCATTTTAATGTTGTGTTGCATTTTTATGTTGTGTTGAGAATAGCATTATGAAAATTACATTCTGTTCAAATTTTTTCAAGTAATCACTTATACCACCCAAAAGTTTAGGATGAATTTGAAAATGACGTTATTGTGACATCTGAATATAAAGTAATGTACTTATTTCAATGAATTTAAATCTTTCCGCAACACACCCAGCAGATGCATTCATAACAACAATTATAATTTACAATAATCATACTAAACAATTTAAGACTCATTAGTCTGCACAGGATGGTTTACAATGGAAATTAGGTACCAGAAAAAAATTAACAAATTATCAGTTGAAGGTTCAGATTTGTTTTATTTCTGAAGTTTTGGCTTGAAATCATTGTATTAAGAACAATATAAAAGTGTACATGTATGTCTTTCAATCATCGTTTAAAAAGCAATAATTAAATTGCATTTTCTTTTTTTAGGTGTACTCTGTTTACATACTACAGTGTCTGGCAAGAGATCATGGCTGATGCAAATGTATTGGACTTCAAGGGGTTGCTATCGTACCCCCACTGGCATTTTGCTTGGTACAGTTTCCTTGACCTTCTTGACATAAACTACGAAGAACGTTTTGTTTTGCCCTCTGTGGCAAAGATAACAGTCTGAACGCTGTCGTTTGTGATGCTACAGCACTATCCTTAAGATGAGAGCTTTGTACTTCTCTGAAGTCTAGTTATTCATCACTGAGTCCATCCACTGAACCACGAGAAACAGGAAGATAAGTTGCTATTAATTTTATGCTTATGATTTTTTTTTAATATTTATGCATCATTTATCCTATTATTTTGGTCCCTAGTATGATTCAAGGAGTTCTATTTGAGAGTGTGAGCATGATATAATATATTACTCTAGCTGTCAATGTGAAAACTATGACTTGATTCAGTTTAATTACTGATTAATTTAACAATTTTAGATATTTCTAATCCTTCACCTCGGGCTGGCACCTTGTTATGTTGGTGAAGCTTCTGTGTCTCCTGAACCCTGGACAGACCTTGGAATTAGGTCTTCTTTTTCTGGATCAGTTGAGGGGTTGAGACCAGACTAATACCAGCTCCACTTCCTCCTGCATTCTACTGGGATACACTTTTAATGTGTCTAAATATCACTTGATTTTATTTGCCTTATTTGAAGAGATCTGCATTTAGGCTAATTGTTAAATATTTTATGACATCACTAGGCATCGTGACAGGGCTTACGTTGCTGAAAAACATGTCAGGCCGATGGTGGATCAAGTAGGTGGTGATGTTAGCAAGGTTACAGACACAGTAATGACTTCTTTACACCTGGAGTTGCAGCATTGTGCACCTGCCTTAGGTAGTTTCCTTTCCTGGTGTATTTCATTCAATGGATCTGATTTCCCTTTTCCAACACCTATAGCTGGACTTTTCATTGCCTTAGGAAAAGCGTCCCTGACGTGTGCACTTCTCCCCCAGTTGGACTCCTTGGAAACATTTTACCGCAGACTCATTGGCAATGAACCAGTCAAGCAGTGCCCCAAAGACATGCTTCTACTCCAGCAAACTTCTCCACTCCTGTTTGACATAGTTAGCATTGTGGAGAGTGATCAGCTTCCTGCGGCCTTGACTACATTTAAATTATTGACCTGTTGGAAAAAGCAAAGTCTCCTTTCAGCAGAAATGGATCAATAACAGGTGCTGTGCAACTGGATGTAAACCACACAAATGATGTAGAATACTATCCTTGCCTACCTGTGATGAGAAGTCGTGGTGACTATATTGCTTGGATGACAAAACTCCAAACACCTGCACAAAGAGAAGTACTCAACACCTATCCTTACTTCCTGGGGTTTTCTTAGTGCACTTTAAACAGGGTACAATAATGTTTTGAGTTTGTATTAATGTTTGTTTTAATTTCTACGACAAACGACATAACTTGTGCTATGAAAAAAATGTAAATTTCAATTCACTCTGACCCCCAAATAGCTATTGTTACTCTTTATATATTCCAGATTATCCTTACAAGCTTCGGATTTACGCTCTGCCTGTGGTTTTAGTTATTAGGGTTTGTTTTTTCTTAACAAATGTCACTTTCTTGAAAGACCAAAACTGTTTGTAATGCTTAGTTTGCAAAAGGATAACATCTGTAGCTGTCAAGTCAAAGAATCGCGCAAATTAACTGACTTACCTGTTTTGTTTTGTTTTTTGCTGTTTACTGACTAAATCGAAATTTTTCTAACAATTTATTGGTTAAATGGCATAACAACTTGTATAAATGGAGGTTGTTGATTTCTATTGACTAGAGATGTACCTCAATTACANCCACAGGGGACGAAATTGGGCCCCTGGCTGTTCCTTATCATGATAAATAATCTTTCTGTAGCAGACACAATTATTTGGAAATACGTTGATGACACCACTCTTGTCGAATCAGTATTGAAGAATGAGTCTAGCTACATGCAATTACGTGTAAATGAACTTGTAAGACAGTCAGAAGTTGATGGTTTCCAATTCAATGAGTCTAAATGTAAAGAACTGAGAATATCATTCTCCAGATCAGGTAGTCTGTTTGATCATATTACTATCAATGACAAGCAAATCGAAGTTGTTTCATCCGCAAGGTTGTTAGGAGTGATAGTCTCGGACAACCTCAGGTGGAACGCACATGTAGAATCTATATGCAAAAAGGCTGCGAAGCGTCTGTACTTCCTAAAACAGCTAAAGCGCGCTAAAGTTCCATCTGAGGATATGCTACTTTTCTATACAACATGTATACGCCCTGTATTAGAATATGCGTGCCCAGTTTTTCATCATTCTTTGCCGCAATATCTGTCCAATGAAATGGAAAGGTTGCAAAAACGCGCGTTGCGGATGATTCAACCTGACTTATCCTACGCTGAGGCTCTAGTAGCTCTTGACATTGCGTCACTGTACGAGAGGAGGGAGATCTTGTGTGATGCTCTATTTGATCAGATTGTAAGGGACGAAAACCACAAGCTCCATGATCTGCTGCCTCCACGCAACGAGTCCACCTATCGCACCCGCAGCCAGAGATACTTCAAGCTACCGATTTGTAAGACAACTAGGTTCAAAAACACATTTATCATGGCGAACAGTTTAATTATTAGTAGCTATCTTAATTATTTGTATTTTGGTTTTTGATACTTCTCTTATTGTATTTTATTGTAGATTACACTTTGCGGCTTTTATTGTGGTTATCTTAGAGTAAGAGATAATTTATTCCCATTGTAAAGTAAGTCGTATTTCAGCCGGCCCGGGGGCTGCAATGATTTTACTTCCTAATAAAGCTATCATATCATATCTAGCTATCACATCTGTTCTTCCACAACATACTTTCAGGCACTCAATGTATGCAGTGTTGCTGTGATTATGTGTAAAACGGTTTTATGTCATCTCTTTTGATTTCCACTTTTGGTATAAATTATGGATTTAGTGTAATACTTTGCAACGAATCTCCTAACATCCCATTTAGAGTGCTTCGAATGCGTTTCTCACGAGGTAAGCTTAATTTAATGTGTATGTGTATGTTGCGGCCTTTGACTGGATGCCTTTGTGCGTGAAGAAAAGTTCCTTTTATTACCTGGGCACGGTTTAAAGGATGAATAACGCTACCCACCAGAAAGATCACTATCCACTGGATAGCGTTGTACCTTATCACAACACTTATAGGTGAATATATAGTGAATCATTCTGTGGATAAGCGTTATCCACCCGTTGAACGACCGGGGCCTAGTGTTTTGGGAGTTTTTCTTCTCTTGATTTCCGCCTATCAAAGGCATTTTATATTAAAGAGTCATAATAAATGTAAGTTCGCATTACAATTTTCTGCCTTTTTTCGGAAAGGTCCCCGCCTGATTGTCTACGACAACGCTTGCAATTTGCATTCACATTGTTTAAATCGGGATCCTGTCTTTTTCAAGAACTCTCAGTTCCTTTTGGATCGATTGCATTGGCGAGATCCTACAGGTACGTAAATCACCCCAAAACTGGCTTTTTCGGTTTAGCCATCTTTAATCTTCGGTGTTCTTTTGGCTATGCTGTCGGGTCCATCCCCTCCAACTGACGTAATGGCACATTACACACATTTGTTAAAGCACATTCGACGTAATGTTTTAATCGTTACTTTGTCAGAACCAATGCAAAACAATGGTTTTTTTTTTTCTTTTTTTCAGGTTGCTCTGAGGCTTACAACCTCTCCCGTTTTCGTCAGTGGGACACCTATAACAGTCAGGCAGCAAAACAAGCCAATTCATGCTTGAAGTCTCTCAAAGAATCATTGTCATACATCAACAAGAATTTTATGATCTTCCGCTACGTTGATCGATCATAACATTTTTGTTAACACACCTCACAAACTTCTTGTGAGCGGAAACATTATCTCTGATGTTAGTGATCACTTTTCGCAGTTCTGTATCACTACGTCAGCGAAAGACAAACTTTTACAAGTTAAAATTATGAAAAGACGTGACTATTCAAAATTCTCCGCTGATCTCTTTAACGACGAGCTGTCTAAAGTTTAATGGAATCAAATAATGGCAAACGTAGGCCATCATATCAGAGAAAGCTGTCGATGGATGTGGCGTTCCTCAGGCATCAATCCTTGGACCGTTGCTCTTCTCGTTATTTTTCAATGATATTCACAGATGCTCGAACAAATTTAGGTTCTACCTATTTGCAGACGACACTAACATACTGTATGCGGACAAAAATCTGAAAGATCGTGAGACAATTGTCAACATTGAGCTACAAAACCTGTATAGCTGGTTGACAGCTAGCAAACTAACTCTTAACATCAAGAAATCCAACTTTGTAATTTTTCATCCCTATCAAAAGCGACTTGCTTACCAACCAAAACTTTACATGTTTGATAATGATAAGAATAAATATACTTGTCTCGAGTCTAAAGTCTACTTAAAATACCTGGGCGTAGTTATTGATCAGAATCCTTCATGGAAATATCACATTGATTCCATTGTAACAAAAATTAGTAAATTAAGTTTATGAACCTGCCAGAAGGCATTCAACGATCACGAGATCCAGTCAATTTAAGTCTCCTTCAAAAATTGAAGCCCAGAACAGCATGAACGTAGGTGTTCGTTGAGGTGTCACTTTTTTGTTTCTCCTCTCGAAAGTGACGAATTAAACCTGATCCGCTAAGTTCAAACTTTAACCTGATTTAAAATGCATTCCTTAATTGAAGCTAGACCGATCCAGTTTTCTACGCGTTTATCAGTATGATAAAAGAAGACAAAGTGGTAACTGTTATTGCAAAAGGGTTATTTTACAAAAATCCTTAATATATTGAAGCGAAGTATACTGTAGGAAAATTCATTACCCGACGAGGTAATTCCGCGTTATATTGCACGCGGAAACCGATATCGCACGAATCGCGAAGCGATGGGTGCGATATCAGTTTTCAAGTGCAATTTAACGCGGAATTCACGAGTCAGGTAATGAATTTTCCTTGAATCGCTTAACTAAATGAAAATAAAAAAACAAGAAATTAAATCGGCAATATTATTGTTTGTTTTTGTCCCGAGCGCGCGCTCTAGAAAGCCATTTCAAAGCCAACTGTCAGAAGTGTCATTATGTTAGCGAATAGAAAGCAAGGTTAGTCGTGCACGTTTTAACCTTCGAAAATTTTATTTTTACCTCGTGCTTGATTTTACATTAATTTTCGAACTTTTTAAACAAGCTTCACAATATTTAGGGATGGTAGTGGTATTCTACTGAATTTACAAGCTGTTTATCGTTAACACCTTTTTTTCAAAATTTCAAATAATTTGCTCGAGGAAAGTAATTTACACCTTTTAGCTCTTTGGAGGCAAACTGAGAAAAAGGAAGTGTGCAAGCGAAAGCACTGATTTCAAGTGCAATATTTTACTTCGCGATTAATATAAGGTAAGTGCCTTGAAGTGTAAATACGTGTATTCACCGATACTTTATTTCTTTAAAAACGAAGAAGTGTTTCATGGAAAGTCCAACTCGCCGACGTCTCTTCTCGAGTTTATACGTCGGCGAGTTGGCGTTGGCGAGTTGAACCGTCGACGGCTTGACTGGATACCCAACTGTTCACCCGTGGAATGGTGAGGAAGCGAAATCAGCTGAAAGCGAGCGAAGTAAGAGAAAGGTGAGAAAAATTTACCAGATCAGGCTTGAGCGAAGGTTTCATCTCGTTGGGAACGCATAATATTGACTCAGATTGGATCGGAGCGCCACTGCCAAGGGCCTGGAATGACGTCACCAGCCCCAGTCTCTGGTTCACTCGATCGTTCCAAAAATAAACCCGACTTTAAAAACTCATAAAAAATCGCGGTTTTAACCAAACACAAAAATGTTTACAGCATTTTGCTCAGTGCAATAAAGAGATTTAATATGGCCAAAAAAAAATTTTGGGCATTGGCAGAATCGTTCGGATGAGCATTCGACTGAAAATTGATGGGGATATTCACTGGAAAGTTGTTGAACGATACATTAGAGAACAATCTACCTAGAGTAAAGGCTGATAGTTTCGAAAGAAACTGTTTGGGGCTGCGTCGGTGGGAGTAACGAAATAATTTGGATATATCAACAAAGTTGAAATGGTAAATTGGCCACCGTAACGATTACAAAAGCTGACGTTTCGAGCGCTAGCCTTTCGTCGGAGCGAATCCACCTGGAACTCTTACTGCTAGATCATTAATGCCGTTACTCATTGATGTTGCGTTATTGCCAACTCCTGATGGAATTGCAAGGCTATTGACATAAATTTCTCCAAAAGCTTTAGTGCGTGGACCGTCGATGGCGTTGGCAGCGGTTACAGTCGTAGTGGTACGACTGAAAACCCAGCCAACTTGCTTGACATCCTTTGTTGTTTTTCTAAAAGATTATGGCTGCAGATGGATATTGAACCCGGGTTGGCGTGACCTGTTAGCTCGGAGATTGGTTTTTCTGGGCAGTGTTCACAGGATTTTCTCGCCTTCGGGTTGTCGCGAGCGAAAGAAGTTTTTCATGCTTCTCCAAGAATTTGAAGTTCAGTTCAAATCAAGGAAGAACCTCAGGCTCACTTTGAAAACGCTTTGTTTCTTTTTGCGCTTTAGAAGGTGACAAAGGCTTTGAAAACATTTTAAATTGACTGAGAAACCAAAATTTGTAACAATTTGACGATAGTTGTTGAGCTTAGTGACTTAAATGCGAAACAATTTCGCTTAGCCTCGTTTTCAACTTGCAATTCCGCGCTGAATACCTCGCTTCGTTAACCAATCAGAATGCGAGATTTTACTCAATAATGCGATTCTAGTTGAAATTTCTCAAAACTAAACGAGGACCAATGAAGTCAGAAGTCAAATCAATGGCCTTCCACTCAAGGCTTACAAACTGACATAGAAGCAAGTTCTCAATAGTTCAATGGAAGGGCGGACGTTTCTATCTCTGAGGATTGCTTAACTCCAATTAGGCGGTGTGCACTCTGATTTCGTCACATTGTGGTAGCGATATTTTCAATATGGCGGTGAAAGCGGCAGAAATCGGCAGATTTTGACCGAACAATCCGTAAAATTTAAGTCATTTCCTTTTCCTTTAAAGACTCAGTGAGTCCGTTTAATTTTTTTCTTTCTTCTCTGATCACTTTCTGATTTCGTCAATTTTTTCGTCCTCCTCTTTTCAACCAGCCAGAACACACGTTATTTAGAAACTTTCTAAAAAATGTATAAATATTGTGTAACGCTGACTTTTTAAAAGCTATTCACTCTATCAAATATTTACAGTACACCGTCACTGCTACCTCTCCTTTTCTTCCATTGCCATAAACATTGAACGGGATGCAGCTGTAGTTCACCATTTTTACTCTTTCACTAGCTGAAGTAGTGATCATTGCACCATTGTCTGCATTATTTATATACTCATTTCCTTCATAGAATCGATACTTTGCAGGTGGGTTGGCCTGTGCGCTGCAGGTGATACTGAATGTTTCACTCACAGCAACGGTGTTGTCAGTCAGATTTGTTGTCATAGTGGTCTTTACTGGGTGGTAGTCTAAAATAAATTCAAAAGATCAACACTCTTCGGGTTGAGTTATAATATATAGCTTATTTTTTCACCTTGAATCTGACATATCGGTGCACTACCGTATCTTTTACCTTCATTTGTTAATTCCGGCAACGAACAATATTTTACGCAACTGAACTTTTGTGTCAAATATGCTCAAGTTTTCACCGCTGTTGAATGGGTAAATAAGCCTTTCATTGTTATTGTAGCCTCTAACAATTGTTGAGTGAAGTGTTTCTGCGCTGAAAAAATTGTTTTTTCGGTGTACTTTCAAACAGTGCTAATAACGTCATCTTAGACACCTAACTACAGAAGTAAGGTTTTAGTAACATCTTTGAGTTCTTCCTCTTACCAAGAAGAGATCTTGAAGATGCATATGGGCCCATCTTGCCCGTTCGGGATTGCCCGTATTGATCCCGTGCAAGAAAAAAGCGCGTGGAGCGGACTTCTACTGAGTTCGTATCTTTAGGACAACGTCCGAAATGAAATCGCAAAAGCAGCAGAGGTCAAAAGAAAGAAAAAATTAAACGACACTCTTGGGTTTATTGTGCTACAAACACGGTTGACTTTCTTTCCCAGCTCTCGAAATAAACAATTCATTCCTCATTCTTATCAAAGTGAAATATTTTTGCGATATAATAAAAAAATACTTTTTTGACCAAGCTTGTTCGGTCAAGATGGCTGGATATTAGTCTCCTTCTTCGATCGTCTCGGTCCATCAAAACTAAAAAAAAAAGAGTTTGGCAATATCTAGCCATCTTGACCGCATGCTCGGTCACCAACGTACCATTTTACCCTAAAAGGTATCGGCTTTGAAACAGATCGAGGCAAAAGTACAGCTACGCCATACATGTTAACACTCATTCCGCACATCTTTAGGATACGCTTTATATGCGAGGCAGAAGATAGAGAGATGGTGAATTGTGGCGCCGATCGTCAAACAGTATCATTGCCTTAATTTGAAATTTACACTGAAATCCGCGAATTTTAAACTTTAAACTTTCGTCCATCTTCAAATAAGTGACCTTTAGTCCAATGGAAACGACTGCAAAAAAAGAATCGAACTTAGTGCTCTCAAAGTCCACGGCATAGCAATTAAGGAAAGTAAAAGTTTTCTAGGTCGCACCACGTCAAAACGCGCAAAAAATTTCACAACATAGCAATCATGTCCGTCTGTTATTCATTTTGGATTATTTTTCGCTTTAGACTGTAGTTAATTCTAATTCACTTTCTCTTCGGGAAAGCTTGAAGCATCCTATTACGAAGACTCCAAAAACAAAAAAGGGGAAACGACTTTGCTCCAAAAATACCACAGCGCTTTTTATTAGGGCCGAAACTCGTATTAACCATACTTCTTGTTACAGGCTTGCCAGAGCCTCTTTGCGACAAAGCTCGGCAAAGCTCACCCAAAGCACTCAGTCTCTCCTGTGCATGTTAGCCTTGTTTCTATGGGAACTGTGCGTCTCTTTAAACCAGGGTAGTTGGAACCAAACTCGTAAATTTGTATAAAGGGTGAAAGTTTCCAAAGAAACTGTGATACTGCGTCGGTCGGGGTAACAAGGTAATTTGGTTATATCAGATAAGTTGAAATAGTAAACTGGCCACCGTAACGAGTTAAAAAGCTCACGTTTGGAGCGTTAGCCCTTTGTTAGAGCGTTGTAGCTCATCCCACGAGAGTAAAAGCAGTACTTAGTTGAAGCCTTCAAAGACACTTGTACGTTTCCTTGATTTTCTCTCCTTGTTTACCTATGTACCGCCTCGCTAGTTTAGATTTCAAGATAACAGATAGTGGTTTCTTATGTAAAAAAAGAATCGCAAAGAACTCTGCAAGGAAGGTGAATGTTAACCTTTC